AATTAAATGATCTACCTTTAATTACCCAGGAAAGGCTAACCCATAGATATGGATTTGGGGTTCTTTTAGTTGCAGAGACTCTTAAAAGGGACTTAACATATTGGTTATGTCCCAGGGAAAAACCTACCTTCCTTTTTGACCAAAGCCTGTGGTAGATTTGCAGTCACACTCTATCCTCTAAACTTTAATTTTCTACTGAAATGGTCACCCCATCTTTCTTGCGGCCCTATAATTTTTTGATAGTGGGTTAGTGTTTTTAACACAAAGAAATTTTAGAATGGAGTACAGAGGGATCGGGCACGGTGTCTCATGCCTTAAAGCCCAAGCACTTTGAGAGGCCAAGGTGGGAGAATTGCTTGAGCCTAGGAGTTCAAGACCGGCCTGGGCAACATAGAGAGACCTTGTCTCTACAAAAAATATTTTAAAATAGCCTGGCGTAGTGGTGAACACCTGTAGTCCCAGCTACTCAACAGGCTGAAGAGGGAGGATCACTTGAGCCCAGGAGGTTAAGGCGGCAGTGAACCATGATTGCACCACTACAATTCAGCCTGGATGACAAAGTGAGACCTTGACTCAAAATAACAACAACAACAACAATAATAATAATAAACAGATGTTAGGTAAATCAAATCTAAACTATTAACACTTTTGTATTAAGTTCAAAAATTGTTTTTGTAATCATTGGTATTTGGTATTTAAAATGTTTGTAAACCTTAAGAAAATGTAGGTTACTAAGGTATCTAGCAAGTTAGCCTCTGACATCAATATAAATGGGCAATTGAGTAATTAATTTTAGGTTCCTGATGTTAAAGCCAAAAGGCGCAAACCATATCAGAATGCTTGATAGAACTTATGAATAACCACTTTTAAAAGTTTAATTTATTAGCTTTACTTGGAGTGGTTTAAGTATATGGGGAGTTTTTCCTCTTAGAAAAACTTGAGGGGCTTTAAAAAGAAAATTGAACATATTAAACTGATAAAAGCAATGCACAATATTTAAAATAAGCTTATTGACTAGGTTTGAAACTGGAATTGGTTAATTAAGGGAGGTTGATTCATTCAACTTGAATTGAAGGCATTAATCAAAGGCCTTCTTTGTGACTGTTATAATTACCAGATTTATAAGTAGAATCAGATTTGTAAGTTTATTCATTCAGCATATTTATTGGGTGTCTGCTAAGTGTCAGGCGCTATTCTGGGTGCTAAGAATATAGCAATCAACAAAACAAGGGCAAAAACATATCTTAATGGAGCCTACCTACATTAAACTTAAGAGCTTTAGAAAACAAGTTATGTTATTAAATGTCTTGCAGTAATACATGGCATATTAATGCTAAAACAAATTGGCCATAAACAATATCTTCATTGCATAAAATTTCCCCTAAGGGATACCAAAAAAATTCACATTAGCAAATGTCTTTAGTCATTAGTGTCTAGTTCATGCTTAACTCTCAAAATTACATGTAGCTTGAGTGTTGAACCTTTCTTTCTATTGTCTGGACTTTTTTGCATCATTCACAAGAAATTCTCGTTAACCAAGATTTTTCTTTTTAAAATGCAAATGTCTCCAAGGTTAAGGGCTAGGGGATATTTACTTCTTCATGTAATTCAATCAGACTGTGTTTTCCCTAACACCTGGTTAAGAAATAAGTTTTCTTATAGAGGGAAGAAAGGAAAAGAGCTCTGGAGATGGAAATATTTGTACAGAAAACAGAACTCTCTGGATTGGGGACATATTAAGGTACAGGGCTGGGAGTCCTTGGGTCATTTGGGATTTGGGTGCCAGGTACAGAAAGAGTAGTGCGAAGAATTCTCAACTGTTTCAAAAACAACTTCCCTCCAGAAAAGAAAGTATCCTTTCTGCCTTCCTAGGTGATTCTCTCTTTCAAAACCCAGAAGCCAAAATTGCTTTGTTAAAAAGTTCCATTTGAGTAAATTTTAAAAAAACAACTTTCACAAAATGACCTGGAAACTCAAATGATCATTGTGTCCATGGGAAAAATGTTTCTCAGTTCTAGACAGTCCATTTGCAACCAGTCTTTTGAAATATAACCTTTTCGTAGATTGACCATTATGTTGATAACCAACACTCACAAAGATCACACCCAAGGCAGTCCCAGCAAAATGTAGAGAACCTGCCAAACCCAGTCATGACCTCAACTGTTGGTTTCCTGAGCCAAGCCCAAAGCTGAGAGTTCACTGGCGTTTGCAACTGATACACATTTCTCAGCTGCCCTAATCCTAAGTCACAATTCATATACTCCAAAAGCAGGCAATGCTGGTGGCCTCTGTGGTAGCTCCTACTCTACCAGCTAACCACTCCTACCAATTGTGGCTAATAACTGCATATTCCCCACGCCACCATCTAGGGACCAATCAGAGAGCAAGTAGGTAGATCTGGGGCAGAAGTGTATAGTGGCTAACTCCTCAGACTCTAAACAAACTAGATTTAAATCCTAAGTACCACTCCCTGGCTGGATGCCCACAGGTAGGTTACTTAAATTCTCTGCACCTCAGTTTCCTCATCTATAAAACAAGAATTGTAATACTATCCATCTCATGGAGTTTCTGAGGGGTTTAAGTAAGATAACACATGTACAATAACATCATGCCTGACAGTGCACAGACTTAGACATGGGTTTCCCAATTCACATCAAGTAAACCAATGGAAAATAAAAACAGCAACGACAACAGCAACAACATTGTGTCCTCTGCTTCCAGTATGCCATAAAAGTAAACAGTAATTACTGACTTCTTGGTTGGTTTAGGGAATTTACTGCTTTCTCTTTTCAATATTGAAGAAACTAAGAAATAATCCAATTCCTTTTTGAATTCTTGAAGTGGTGGGATGAGGTACAGATTTATAAACACTGTTCTAATGGCTGACCAAGATTTGGTTTTCATCTGGTGAGTGAAAATGTCATGAAAAAACAGTTATGAAGAAAAAGTACAATGCTCCAAAAGATGGATTTTTAAATCAGTTTGTTTGCAGACACTCTACCTCTGACAGTAATTCTTTGAGAAAATGATTTTTCCAAATAGATCCATATAAACCAGACTGAATTATTAAGGAGAAAAATGAGTTTAATATGTGATATTAGATTGAGTATCATCCAGGAAATGTGTGCTGTAAAAAAAGTTTTGAATATTAATTGACCTCTGGTAACTTTAGTGTTGTAAATACTTGTATTATAGTGAGGTAGACAGTATAAAAAAAACTCTCCATTAGACAGACTTAAAATTTTGTAATAATATTTAAGAAAATGATAACATTATGAAAGAATGAAATATCTGATTAATGCTTAACTTTGTACAACTCGAATATAAACTTTAAAAATATTAGAAATTATAACATTTGAGTGCATATAACGTTTTGTACATTAAGATGAATTGCATGCTGTCCATTTCCTCTTTGCACTTTCAGTCACCTTAAATAAACAAATATATACAACCTTAACAGAACAACAGTGCATCCAAAGCAAATGTGCATTTTAAATTATTTCTCCTGGCCAAGTCTTTTTTTTTTTTTTTTTTTTTTATTAGCTTTTTATATTAGCATTTCTTATCATTCCCCCCCTTTTTTTTTTTTTTTTTTTTGACAGTCTGTAGTTCTCTGAACCAAACAACAGGTTTAGATCAATCAGGAGAGAGCAAAAACACTTAGGAAAAAACAAAACTCTTTAATAGTTGGTACAAGTCCCCTTGATTAAACCATTTCATGGTCAAAGATGAGGAAGAAGCTAACTCTTCAAAGGGCCTACTCAAAGGGCATGTATGTTTGAAAATAATACTGGTACAGGCTGGGGGAAAGTTCATGTTTCTGACTATCTGGGAATGGGTGCTTCAATTTCACTATGTGCTCTCTCCCTTCCTTCCGGAAGATGAATTCCGCCCCTGCCTCCTGCCTTACTGTTTCTGTCTCCCACCTCAAGCTCAATGTAACACTTGGCTCTTTTCACAGTTTCTCATTACTAAGTTTTAAAAACATTGCCTAACTGGTAATTACAATTTGAAACAATTCTTTTGGGGGGAGCCCTGGGCTATTGCTGACTGGTAATCTTTCAGGAATGTCAGAGGGGCAGGAACACAGATTTTAAAGAAGCTTCAGAGACAGGGACTAGTGGCCCCTTTATCCTGTCGTCCTAGTTCCTGGCCTGTTTTTTCATCCCCATCTACCCTCTTGATGTGACTCCTTCTTGGGTTCTGTTCTCCTCCTGGGTACCTCTTACCTTAACCGTATTGTTCCCTACCCCTTTTTATTTTTTTTAAAAAAAGGAAACAAAACAAAAAAACTGGGGAATCACCCTCCCCTTAGAAGGGGATGTCTGAGTTCTGACAAATTCTGTTGAAAGAAATCAATTAGAAACAGACATCAGAAAGGGATTTTGGGTGGGCTACCTCCAGCCTGGGCAAATAAGCCTCAGCGTAAGCCTCAGAGGCAGGCCTTGTGGTTTCACATTATCCTTCAGGGGGTTCCATTTGGACTAATTCTTGTCATTCCATCCATACCAGCTCCCCTTTCCACCACCAGAAAAGGCAACAATAAAGTCAGCGCCCTGAGCCCTCAGGAGTGAGATGGAGGTTGCCAGTTCCGGGTATTGGCAGCGGAGGCCGGGACAGAGCTGGCAAACTTGCAGAAAGCACAAGTGAGTGAGAGGGCACCCCTGGGTTCACCTCTCTCAAAGTTCTTCTATAGGCGAACCCTCCCTGACTTTCCTATTCCTTTGGCCAATTCCTCTGTCTAATATTTTCTGCTCCAGAGGTCGCAAGACATGGGCTATTACATGGCCAGAAAGACCCCACTTTCTTTACACATGTAGAAAACAACCAATTCAAGATGTGTTCACAGGTGATTGTTCCTTCTACACTGTTTCCCTTTTTAAACTTTTTTTTTAATCCATGGAGCAGTTGAGAAACAGGTATGCGTCTCCCTTCCCCCCACCTCCTATCAAAACCTGTAAGACACACAAGGAAATCCAAAGCCACAATCATAAAGAAAGAAAAAAAAGAAAGAAAGAAATTCTCCTTGGCTTGTTTCTCCAGGGTGGCCAGGCAAGGTGTGAAAATCGAATCTCCCTCTGGGCTGGCGGGTGGAAGGTTCTGGGAAGGCTGCAGCTCCCTCCTCTCGCACCCAGCTCTTAAGTCCAGGCCGTCCCCCCACCCCCAGCCTCTCCCGAGGCCGGCTTCCTCCTCCCCTCTCTGCAGCCAGGCCTCCCCTACGGTCTCTGGCCAAGGCGGCGGGAAAGACGCCGCTACCTGCAGCCGCACGACTCCACCACCATGTCCTCGTACTGCTTGTAGACCACATTATTGCCCGCGTCGATGTACAGGATGCTGATGGGAGTCAATTTGGTGGGCACGCAGCAGCTGGGCGGGGTGGAGCCGGGGTCCATGGAGTTCATGAGCGTCTGGATGATGGCGTGGTTGGTGGGCTCCAGGTGCGAGCGCAGCGGGAAGTCGCACACGCCTTCGCAGTGATAGGCCTCGTACTCCAGGGGCGCGATAATCCAGTCGTCCCAGCCCAGCTCCTTGAAGTTCACGTGCAGGGGCTTCTTGCTGCAGCGCAGCCTTGACTTCTTGCCGTGCCGCTTGCCGTGGCGGCTGGCGAAGGCCGTGCGCCGCCGCCGCCGACCGGGCGAGGGCAGCCAAGGCCCGGCATCCGGGGCGCCCGACGGCTGCGGCCACGACCCCTCGGCGCCCGCGCCCGCCGCCTCGGCCGAGCCCAGCTGCTCGCGCATCTCGGCGAACAGGTTCTTGCGCTGGGACCTGGTGAACACCACGAGTAGGGCGCGCTCCTGGGGGGGCCGCACCCTCCGGCCGAAGCCCAGACTCCGCAGGTCCGGGGGCGGCGGTTGCTGGGGCCCCCGCGCGCCCGCCTCGGCCTCCCCGGCGTCTGGCTCTTCCCACGCGGCGCGCAGCTCCAAGCACAGCTGCTTCCAGGGCTGGTGGCGCAGGCCCTGCCACACGTCGAAGACTTCCCAGCCGGCCGGGGGCGCCCCCTGCGGGTCCAGGGTCCGCGCGTCCAGTAGCAGGGGCGACAGGCAGGGGAAGAGCTGCACGTGAAGCGGCCCGGCCAGGGGCCCCCAGGGCGCTGCGGGCGCCTGGCGAAAGAGCCGCAGCTCCGCGCCCACCAGCTCTTCTTTGTCTGAGAGCGTGGACACATCAAACAAATACTTCTGTCTCCGGAGAGGAGTGTGCGAGAGATCGTCTGCGAGATAAAAAATAATTACAGTCAGTTTCACTTAAGGGGGATATCAGCCCGGTGCTCTTCGGTCGCCCCCGGGAAGAAAAGGGCGGGAATCAGGGCAAGCCGGCCGTGGAGTCCAACTCCAGGCCCAGGGCCTGACCACCCCTGCTCCTCGTCTGGCTGGTGCACGGCGCGGGAGGGGGCGCACCAGGGAGGGCCCCTCTTGTGGGTCAGCTCCGGATTCCCTGGTCAGGCGGCCGTGGGCCTCCGGGGCTTTCCCCTCAAGAGGCTTCCTAATCACTAATGTGCCCTTTGTGGCCGGGAGCCTGGGCCGCGCTTCTCCCCTGACCTCCTCTGGGCCGGCTCATTCTCATCATTCATGTCTCAAATGTCACCTCCTCCAAAGGGCCATCCCTGACCACCCTGATCTAAAGTAGCCTCTCTCACTATCACAGGACCCTGCTTTTTTATCGTCCTGATACTTAGGATGATCTACAATTACCTCGTTTATATTTGTCTCATTAGTAGTCTATCTTTGCCAGCAACACTCCGCCCTTCTCCGCCAACTTTTAGAAACAAGGACGATGTCGTTGTCACCCTGCTCGCTCCGGTGCCTAGAGCCGTGCCTGACCTACAAGTGCACCGCAGTCAGTAAGTGAGAGACTTCTAAAAACAACAGCCAATCTCAGTCTGGCTGCCCATCTGAATCATCTGGATATCTTAAAAACATCCAGTGCCAGGGCTTGCTTCAGCCACTTGAATCAATATCTAAGGGCAGGGCCTGGGCATGGCTTTTTTGTTAGCATTTTTTTTAAGCTCTAAGATAATTTAAAGGTGCAATTCTAGTCTAGACCCACTAGTCTGGGGGTAACCCTGCTGCCCATCAGTTGTTTTTGCTGGGGCATTTAGGCCCAATACAGCGCAGACAGAATGAAACGCTGCTAAGTGATTGATTGATTGATTGATTGATTTACTTCTTTATTTTTAAATTCACCAATTATTTAACAACAAACAAAAGAGTAATGAAGCTTTCAGAACAAACACACACACCAGACATCTATCCATTGAGAAGATCCTGTAGTCAATGGGAAATAGATACACTTGGAAGGAGAAAACCTCAGCCAAGGACACTTAGACACACACAGAATGATGTTTTCTCTCACCCCTCTAAAATTCTCTTGCTTTGTAACTACTCCTGAAGGTAAATTTTTGGATTACAAATGCGAAAAAGAAATTTGGAACACACGGGGGCGGGGAGTGTAACAGGCTTTTAAAATCCAAGACAAATTCTTCAGAACCAAGGCAAAACTGGACTTCTTTTCTGACACATTTGTGTACAAAGCCAACCCCACTTCAATGTGCAAGGCGGAAAGCGAACCAGATTTTCCTGGGCTGCTTTCCCATAAAATATTTACAACCCAGCAAATACAAAAATCCCCAAAGCCCCCAGCTTTCCCCAGAAGCTAGTAAAGTTTGGGTCGATTTCAATAGTAAAAGTGTCACTGGGTCCCAGGTCCGACTCTCACTGGCAGTCCAGATGTAGCCTGGGGGCACCAGCTCTAGAGCCTCAGCCACACCCAGTTTGTACTCCAGGCTGACCGCAGGGCCGGCTGCCTGGCTCTTACACACATGCCCCAACCTGAGAGGGAGTGTGGGAAGGGTTAGAGAGGTGAAAGGGAAAAGCTGCTGGAGGCAGTTGATTTATGGAAGCCAAGACCTTCAAACCGACCAGGGTCACGTTAAAATCAGGGGGAATTCAGCACAGTTTCTTCTTCTTTAAAGAAACCTGTGTCTGACAATGCTCAGCCACCGCCCCATCTCTGGACCTGTTGCCTTAGGCTCCACTTCCCTGCCTCTCTCCCCAAACTCAGGATGGGATGAGAGGAAAAACCTAAGGCATTTGCTGCAAAAGCTAAATGTTGTGAAGGCTGACATAGTTCCAATCTTTATTCACATGCAAAGAACAGTTCTTGAAGGCAGGTTCTCATATCATTCCCATTTTACAGATGGGAAAACCAAGGCTTGGAGAAATGAAGACAATTACCAAAAGCCAGACAGCTAGTAAGCAGTGAGGCTGAGATTCATATTTGGGTTTATTTAATTCCAGAATTGGAACATTTAGCCCCTAAGTCCGATTGCCTTTCCACTCTAGTCCAGGTACTGGAATCTAAAAGCAACCAGGAGTGGCCAAGACACAAAGGAAGGAAAATACGGTCCAAACTGTATTTGCAGGGCTTCCTAGGAATAAAACCTAGGTTTCCGTAGGAAATCATTTCCACGTCTGCTTGCATAACCCTTGAGATGGTTTGCCACTGGCTGGAGAGCACTAGGCAGGTGTAAAGAATAATGATTTGTTTATTTCTCAAGCAACAAGGAGAGATCAGCCTGCTTTTGTTTTCACTCTTTTTTTTTTTAAGTGTGTACTAATAAATGGTTTGTCTGCACCGATGGGTCAAAACTGAGGCAAGTAACTGTGAAGAGAAGTCTTACTGATTTTGTAGTCTTAAGATGTCTGATGATCCTCCTAGCAAGACCAGCCCACCTCTATCCGCTACAGGCATCAGGGCAGGAGTGTGAACGGGGGCTTTGGCTTGAATCCTGCCCTCTCTCTTCCCACCAGCTCCATCCCACACTTTTAGGGTCCTCACCTGCATGCATATGGACACCTCGGCTCACAGATCCAAGCCCTAGGTGAGTACATCGGTGGCGTGATGCACTCTTGGGAGAACAGACCCAATGAAGATGTCCAGGCCCTGGAAGTGGGCTCAGGGATATTTGGGCAAGAATTCAGATGCCTGGAGCTTGATGTAAAATAGTCACTCTCAAAGCCACTAAACATGCAGTGGTCCTTAAATCTGCATAACATAGAAACCTGATAGAAATGAAAATTCTCTCTGGCCTTCACAGGTCTGTGGAAAGGCCCAGAATGTGCATTTCTAGTAGGTTCCCAAGTGATGCTGATTCTGCTGGTCCAGGAATCACATTTTGACAACCACTGGTCTGTGTGTGTTTGTCCCCAAGGGTCTTTGGCTTCCTACCGAGCAGGGAAGGACACTGCTGGGGGAGGGACAAAATAAGGCACAGAGCTCCAGGGATAAGGCAGCACTCACCAGAACCATGTCACTACCTCTCCCAGTCCCTTTCTGGTCCCCATAACCACCCACATTTTTAAAACTCTCTCAGCCATGCGTTCTCCCACTGGGTCTCCGGAACCTCTAAACCCTAAGCAGAGGGTCCAAGAAGGTGGCTGCTCTGGGCAGCTTCCCTCAGACCACATTCCCCACCTGTCTAAACCTGCTCTGGAGCTGTGTATCACAGAAATAGCCCAGAGGAGGCATCCAACCTGGGGAGTGGATACCACACCACACACAGTGACCCTGGCAGACACTCTGCCTGCTAACCTGGCGTTACAGCTGCCATGAGCCAACAGTGGGCAAAAAGCCAGCCCTTCATATTCCCTTTCACAAGCCTCCTCTCCCATTATGTCGTGGAGACTGCTGCCATCAAATGACCCTCCCTTCTGACCCCTTGACTAGAAACATGCACTTTTCATTTCAAAATCCATGGTGCTGTCTTACGTCCTGGAAGCAAATTCTGTGCTTTAAGCCTTTAAGTTGAAATTGATCAGTAACATCTCATGGGAGTTTTTAAAATTTTGCTTTTAATTTGCATCAGTTTAGTTTGTTGCATTTTAGCTCACACCTCGGTTAACTCAGTGTTTGCTGAATATTAGACAAGGAAATCTTTCAAGCTGCAATTGCTGGATTTATGTTCACCCACTTTCCCCAGTAGGTGGGTAAAGAAAGGAGCAGAAGGAGAGGAAGAAAAGAAAGAAGGAAGAAACCACTGGCATATTTGAAGAAACATCTTCACAAGTACGTCGGCACGTTGGTAAAAGGCTGAGAGTGCCTTAAACATATATCTCTGGTATTGAATTTCTTTTTTAAAAATAAGAATAAAAGATGTTGACTTTGGTCAAAGTGTACAAAGTTTCCGTTAGAATTAATGTAAGGTTTAAAAAAGACCATTTTGGCCAGGTGCAGTACCTCACGCCTATAATTCCAGCACTTAGGGAGTCTAAGGAGAGAGGATTGCCTGACCCCACAGGTTCGAGACCAGGCTGGGCAACTCAGCAAGACCGCATTTCTACAATAAATCAAGAAAAAATAGCCAGGCGTGATGGCACATGCCTGTAGTTTCAGCTACTTGGAAGGCTGAGGCAGAAAGATCGCCTGAGCCCAACAGTTGCAGGCTGCGGTGGCCATGAGTATGCTACTGTACTCCAGCCTGGGCAACAGAGTGAGACTCCGACTCAAAAAAAAGAAAAAAAAAACCATTTTTAATTAAAGAAATAAAAAAGGAAAGCAAGTAAAAGAAAAATATTTAACTACTTGCAAGGTAGGTACAACTGCACCCATTTTATTTTATTTTTATTTATTTATTTATTTATTTATTTATTTATTTATTGAGTTGGAGTCTCACTCTCTTGCCCAGACTGGAGTGCAGTGGCCGCTCCCGGTCACCGCAGCCTCGACCTGCTGGGCTCCGGCGATCCTTCCGCCTCAGCCTTCCGAGTAGCCGGAATTACAGGCGTGCGCTACCACGCCCCGCTGATTTTTTGATTTATGGTAGAGAGGAGGTATCGCCACCCAGGCGGGTCTTGAACCCGCGGGCTCAGGCAATCCACTTACCTCAGCCTCCCAAAGGCGCGGGATTACAGGCTGAGCCACTGCACCCATTTTAAACGAGGAAACTGAATTCGAAAGGTAAGGCACTGTCTACATGACAGTACGTGTGCCTGGAGTAAGGTAGAGCAGGAAACACCAGAGAGGAAAGGAAAACATGCCCAAGACACCAAAGGCCGGAGGCCCAGAAAACTGCATCCCAGGAGGGTGGCGTGAGGGAGGGACACACAGCAGCAGGATCATGCCTTGCCTGCGCACCGGGGCTTCCTGCTGGGGGACTCCTCTGGACCAGCCCTTAGAAGGTTTCTGAAAACGCGAAACCTCCTTTGACTGGGG